ACATTATAGATGGTTGTGAGCCACCATATGGTTCCTGGGACTTGAACTCAGGACCTCTGGAAGAACAGATGGTTGAACCATTGGGCCATCTCTCCAGCCCTGGATAGTTTTTAATGTTACCCACAGTCAGGTGGCTGGGAGACCCCTATCTAGGTGGGCTATGAGAAGCTCCTCCAGTACCAGTCTTTGGTATCTTGTTTATCACAGGGTTTGGCAGCAGTGAGTGACAACAGCGGGCAGGTGGCGCAGCAGTGCCCTTCTTGTGGCTTCAATTCCTGCAGACCCTTAATTACAGCTGTCATACAGGACTAGGAAGTAGAGATTCCTCAGTCCCTTCACACCAGCTAACGTTACACGTCTTGGCCTGAGGCCTGGAATCTTGAAGACAGTTCTCTGGACCCAGAGCCTGCAATCTTGCCTCTGGCTCCTTAAAGACTCCTCTCTTTCTTCAGCTTCCGTTGCCTCCACCCTATCTCTTCCTGTCCTCCTTTTCCCTGCCCTGGCCACCTCTGAACTGTTCAGCTGCTGCTTCAGCCAACGAGCAGCTGGCTGTCTTGCCACTTTTGTAACTCAGCCTGGAGCCTGCCCAGTTTTTGCCACCACTGCAACTCATTGCCTGATGCTGAAGTGTAGCCCTTCACAGTAGATGGCTTCTGGCAGGGGAGGTATGGGGTGGTCTCAGTTTTCTTTAAGGGGCTGGCCACCGGGAGTTTGACCATGCTCAAATGATTACATGGGCAACACAAATTGGTCTTGGTGGGGTTTTGGCAGGGGAGGGGTATGCAGAGATGGGAAGGTGGACCTGGGAGGAATGAGAAGTGTGATTTGGTGCATTGTATGAAAGTCTTAAGTAATTAATAAAAATATTATGTTGTGGGGGAGAATTCTAGCACAGCGAACATTTGCTGTGAAGATGACACAGAGCGTTCCTTTCATATAGAGATGTTCTGTGTTAAAATGATTTAAAGTGAAGCAGAATTAAAGCCTGAGTGTATGAGACCTCAGGTAGGGCTTTTCTCCCAGACATTTTCTGGGATTTTCAAACGAGACTATCTGTCTATCTATCTATCTATCTATCTATCTATCTATCTATCTATCTCCCCCTAACACTAGATGGGGGAGAAACAAGGATAGCAGAGGGGAGAGAGGAATTAGGAAAACCCTTAAATCTATTTTCTTTCTTTTTTTTTTTTTTTTGTTTCTTTATTGACCATGGATACTAACAAACTGCAAACAACCTCCCTAAAGGACCAAAAACCACTGAACCTGTTTCTTATTCCCACTACACTAAGCCGAGGCTCCTCGAAGATGAGGAGATGTCTTAGGCTGCTGTGGATGGCATTCTACGTGGTAGCTAACCCTGTGGAGTAGAAACTTCCACCACCCCCCTTCCTTTGCTCTTTATTTAAATTTACCTTTCTTTCACAAGTTTTAAATGTCTTTTCCCGGATGTGGCTGTGGTGGCTCACAGCCCTTGCATCGGTGAAGCAGAGGTAGGGGGATCAGGAGTTTGAAGCTAGCCTGGGCTATATAGTGAGTCTCAGGACAGCCTGGGAGAAAATAAGAATGGGGGATGGGGGGAGTAAAAGAGAATCATGGGAAAGATGCATGGAGTCCTGCCCTGCCTCCACAAGCAGAAGTTCCAAAAATTGCAAGGAGCAGCTATTCCATAGTGATTAGTCCCTGGTGAGGGAAAGCTCTCTGCTCAGTTTGGCTAGTCAATGTGCACAGCAGGTGTTGATTCCACCATGAGAATAAGACCACTAGCACAATTTTTAAGCCAATATTGAGGCAATATTGGCCAGAACAATGGACACTGGCCAGGTCCATACCCAGGATTCCCAGGCTATGGTGCTGAATTACATTAGAAGCTTACACAGGCAAAACCTCACAAGGCTGCATACTTCCCGAAACCTTGACCCAATCAGGCACAAGCATATGTCTTGCAGAGCGCAGGGAGAAAGCACCCTAAATCTGCCTCTCTTTACCCCAAATCTTCCTCTTCAGTTTCTTGAGAGTCTCGCCCTGAACCCCAGCGGTGCAATTGGGGCAATTGAGCTTCTTTACAGAAGTAAAAATGTGTGGCTTGTTATATGAACAACAGCCCCCGCTATCCAGGAAGCTACCTGTCCTTGGGGAAGTGGGGCTTCCAGGTTAGAGGCATTTTTGTTTTATAGATCTCTTAATCACAGTAGTTGAAACTTAAAACATAACGTCAGCCTTCACAGTAAGATAGGTCTTTCCGTTCCCGGGCTTGCCATTCAGTATGTGGGACACTTGGTGCTGAGTCTTCAAACCTCAGATATGGAAATACTTCAGACAGTTACGGCTCAGGAAAAACTGAAAGGATTTCCCCTATGGCCTCCCAAGCCTGTCATAAAAAACACTAAAAAAATATTTTTGTATTGACCCTTCCCCCACCCCCCAACCCCCACCACAGTGGCTACCAAGGTTTCCTTGAAAAGGCTAAGCAGGAGGCCTTAAATGCTCACTAATAAGTCCAAATGTGTGTTTTTGGAGTATCGGTGGGGACCAGGGCCTTGTAGCCCAGGCTGAACTCCGGCTTGCTATGTATCTGAGCCTGGCCTTGAACTTGTGGTCTTCTGGCTTTACCTCCCAAGTGCAGGTATTATAGTCATTTGCCCCTATGCCTGGCTTGGCAAGGTCTTTGAAAAGGTGCAAACAACTTAAACATCACTATTTAACTTGCAGTAATTGTAAGGTGCCACTAACATTTTAATGGCGTAACGAATATTCACATTATATTAACTGGAAAAAAAATCCTGCCACATAATAATGCTAATCTGGATTTTTGAGAAAAATATGTGCGCATGCAGGTATAAAAGTCATGGAAAGACATAGATCAAAGGGGTTATTCATGGATGCGGGATTTGGTAATTTTCTTTTATTCTTTATACTTTTCTATACTGCATCTGCATAACATACACTTCTGTAATCAGGAAAAATTAAGCTACTGTACATCTGTAGCAAAAAGTTGGGAGGATGGTGGTTAAATATTCCTGTAAAAATGTTATCCTAGGCCTTTCAGGCTTTTACCCAATTACCCCTCTTGACTTCTCTTGAGAAGGAGAAAAAGGGATCCCTGAAGGAAAGAAAAAAAGGGGGGGCAAGAAAGACTACTGCTAATCGTTTGTGAGAATGATGCATGGCATCGAAATACTGTGATGCTCTCCTACGTGGCTTACCCAGCAAGTTTTTTTGTTTGTTTGTTTGTTTGTTTGTTTTTTTGTTTTTTTTTAAGTGATGCAGGCAAGAGGACGTGTGTTTACTTTTTATTCCAAAAAGCTTTGGAATAAAACTGCTTCGTGGAATTAAGACAAACGCAAGAGCAAGCGTGAGAAACCCTGTATCTGACAGCGATCGCATGGCGTCCCCTTGTGGCCACCACTGGATTCACCCTGGGAAACGAGTAGCCGCAGGTAGCATCTTTATAAACTCAACAGTCTGCTACCGATCACTCACCGTTCCCCTATTCTGCGCCAGGTGCTAAGTATACTAGGAGTAGAGCGTGTCTTCAAAGCCTTTCTTACTCTATTCGGGTCACAGTGGCGTTCGTAAGCATTCATTTGTCTAATCCAAGAACTCCTACAGGTCACCAAACCGAACCTCACAAACAAGCTGTGTCTCCAATAAGGCTCTGAAGGCATGGCTAGGGGGTCGATGACGACCCGCTGAATACCAAGTGATTGTCAGCAAGAATACAGCCGGTGGGTGGGTGACGCACGAACCGCAGCTGGCACTTTGTGGGTGACCACGGGAATAAGGTACCTGACTCGATTTGGCCATTGACTTACAACCAGGTGCTTAAATTACAAAACCGAGTAATACCCACAAGCCTCTTTCTAACTGTACTGACATCTTTAACTCGCACCCAGATTAGGGGCTGGGGACGTAGCTCAGTGGTGGAGGTTTGGGATTACATTATTTTTAATTGTTTTAAAATGTTTTATTTTTATTTTTATGAGTGTTTTGCCTGGATGTGCCTGTGCCCATGGAGGCCAAAATAAGAAGTCAGGTGACCCAGAACTGGATATATAGACGGATGTGAGCCTCACGGTAGGTGCTGGGAATTGAACTTGGGTCCCCTAGGAGAGGTGCCATTTGTCTTAACAACTGAGCAATCTTTCCAGCCCCTGAAGTTCATTCTTAGCCCTGAGGGAGGGGCGAGACACAGCCACACTCTAGACTGTAACTTGTAATGCTGAGGGCTCCAACCTCACTCCTCATTTTTTAAAGCATCAACCACCATTGAACTTTACTGCCAGCCGAGGAATAATTTGAAAATTATGTTCACAATTACTTATGTTCATTTAGTTTAATCCTTTGCTGATTGACTGTCAAGGTCTGAAGAGTATTTACATGACAGAATCCAATCTTTTGTGATAGCCTCAGTCACTCCACCAGGAATCCTTTTTCGGGATTTATTTAATTTGTGTTCAGGTGGGGGGATGGGGAGGTGTGTGCCTGCGGAGGCCTCAGATCCCAGGCAGTTGGAGTTACAGTACAGGCGGTTGTGAGCTGCCATGTGGGTGCCTTTTCTGAAAGAGAAGCGATTCTCCCTTAGCCGGGAAGCCATCTCTTCGGCCCCACCTTCTCTAACCCCACCTCCAATCTCCCCAGACTTCTGGAACCCTGGGTGTGGCCTGCCGTCCCATCTCGAGTCACACGGCGCTTGGCCCAGACTTGGACCTATCTAGCTCGGATGTTCTTGGTTGGGGCTTGAGGACAACTACCATGCGGTCTGCGACATCAGGCTGCGGGGACACTTTAAGGGGAAACACTAACGGTCTTGAACGCCCAGCCGATCGACCGGTGCGGGCCTCCGGGGAACCCCAGGCGTAAGGAAAGCCCAGCGTCACAGACCGGAGGCCTGGCCTTGTCCAGACGCCAGGCCCCGCCCTCCGCACGAAGCCACGCCCCTCTCTTCGTCAGGCCCTTCCTCCGGGTTTTCCTTTTCCCTCCCCCGCCCCCTTCCTCACCCGAGTCCTCGCGGCCGGCGGCGGCGCATGCGCGGGGCGACCGGGTGAGTGCGGCCGGGCCTGGCGGGCAGGGAAGGGCAGGGCAAGGCGAGGGAGGGCGCGGGCGGCGGCCCGGCAGCCCCCTCCGTACCAGCATCCGGGCGGGCCTCGGCGGATTCGCGCTGCTGCCTGAGGTGAGGGCCGGCCTCCCGGGGCCTGCGCGCCAAGCGAGGGCCGCCGGGCCAGCGGGGCCTGCCCGGCCCGGTGCGTGTCGGCCGCCGCGGCTCGGGCGGACTCCGCCCCGGGGAGGCCTGTGCCCGCCTGCAGGAGGCCTGTGCCCGCCTGCAGGAGGCCGCTCCCACGGGAGACGCCGGAGCCCCACGGGGGCCGGGTCCTGCGTCCTCACGGGCTGAGGGTCTCGGGAGAGACCAAACGGGACGAGCGCTCTCCGAATCCCGCTCCCATTCCTGTTCTGTGTTGACAGGGTCTTGGGTAGCCCAGGCTGGGCACGGAGGCGTGTGCCAACCACGCCGGGCTTCATTTAGGATGTGAAAATTCTTTCTGTGCTTGAAATTATATGTGCTTATTGTGTGTATGCATGCGCACGTGTGTCCTGGCGCAAGTGTAGAGGTCAGAAGGACAACTTCGAAAAGTCTGTTCTTCCCACCATGTGGGTTCCGGGGATGGCTCTCACTTCGTCAGTCTTAGCAGTAAGTGCCTTTTGAGCCATCACACCGGCCCTGATTTTATGGAGGTGAAAAAGAAAATGTTTTAAACGTCCCTGTCTCAAAAAAAGAAAAAAAAAAAAATTAAGTGTTGGGTGCTGGAGAGAACTCTCAGTTGGAATAGGTAACTCCTTCTCCAGGACATCCTCTCTTGAACTAACACACAGGAAAAGTCTTTAAAAAATGCATCTTTGTATTGTGTAAAGACATCTGAAATTGCATGAAAGCACTGTTAAGTTTTGAAGATGCCAGGTGCCAGGATGCCCCCATGTGTGTTGATGTGCTTATTTTGTTCTTAGGAGACAGGGTCTTTCTGTGTAATCTTGCCTCAAACTCTTGAGTGCCAGGATGTCAGCTGTGAGCCACTGAGCTCTGCTGTGGATATGGAAGATGATTTGTAAAGTAATATTTCATATATTGTGCTCCCAGTTTTGTGGGGATATACATGTAGGCTGACAGCCAGACTGCCCTTTGCCTGAGAATGTTGTTGGGCATTTTTAAAATGGGAATTTTTCTTCCATGTTTTCTCAAAGAATGAAGAGTGAGCCAGGAGTGGTGGTGTATGCCTTTAACAAACAGATTAACACCAGATATAAAATCAGAATTAACATGTGGCCACATCCCATCTGTTTGTTTGTTTGTTTTTGCTTTTTTAAACACTATGTGCTTCTGACTGGCCTGGAATTCACTATGTATATTATGCTGGCCAAGAACTCAGAACCATCTTCCTGCCTCTGCCTCCTGAGGGTTGGGAATAAAGGTATGGGCCACAACACTCAGTAGTTGGTTTTTGAGACAGAGTTTCTCTGTGTGTTCTTGGCTCTCCTGGAATTTGTTAAGTAGACCAGATTGGCCTCTCTCTCCTGAGTGCTGGACCACCACCACCAACTTGTCTTTTTTTTTTTTTTTTTTTAAGTGATACATTATAAACCGGATATAGCACAATGATGTTAACATTTTTCTCCCAAGTGAATGTTTTTTAGGTGACTTAATTTCAAATACCTTAGTTTTCTACTGTGTATAACTGGGTAGGGGTAAGCTTCAGGTGATTCATGATCTTTTTGATAGGATAATTAGTGAGCACAAGTTTTGATTTACATTATTTGTAATCTCGAACTGTCAAGATGGCTCAGTGAGTAAAGGCATCTTCTGCCAAGCCTGATGATGGGAGTTCAGTCCCCAGGACTCATACCACTACTGTGCTGTGGCACTTGCATGTGTGTGTACCCAGATGTCTTTATGAAGGCACTTGTGCATACCCAAATCCCATACTGTTTGCTTGTGTGAAGGATGGATGGCAGTTCTAGGTTGTGAGTGGTCGTGTCCCATCCCCAACCCAACCTGGGCCCCCAGACAGGGTTTCTCTGTGTAGCTTTAGCTGCCCTCGAACTCAGAGATCCAACTGCCTGCACCTCCCCTGGGATTACAGGTGCGTGCCACTGTGCCCGGCTAGTTGTGAGTGGTCTTAATGAGCCTTTGATGGTTTTTAGTCCTAAGAAATTAAATTGTCTTCTTCTACCTCCCTCACTTGACAAGCCAAATCCAACTTTCAATTTAAGGTAATTTTAATACAGTGTGTGGTTTCCTTTTTTTTTTTTTTCTTTTTTTTTTTTCTTTTTTGCTCATGTTCTGAACAACCTGAGATATGCTCTTGACAGTTTCATGTTCTCCCTGATATTAGAGTATAATAATATGGGCTACAAGAAACCCTGTCTTCAAAAACCAAACAAAGGATGCTGTTTATGGTGTTGGGTTGGCATTTTGAATATGTACTTAATGATTCTATAAAAGTATGGCTGTCAGTTTTTCAGATATCACCTCTGCTCTCCAGTGGTTGGCGAAGAGCTTGGAGCAAGATGAATTTGCTGGTGGCAGTATGGAGCAATGAGTGTTCACACACACACAGTTAGTTATTTGATACCAACAGTCTGAAGACAAGTGTTCCATCCTTAGTTCTGATATATCATAATGGACTTTGATAGAATTGGTCTCTTCATTGCTTGAAATGAGGTGAGTTTGAAGGGAGTACTTTTGTGTTCCTCACGGGATTGTTGGGGAGTTCTTAATAAGCATTAAGAATGTGCTTAATAAGTGTGATCATGTGATATGCAGAAGTAGTATGTGCCCATCAGGGATGCATCCACTTGAAACGAGATTCATCTTATAATCTGCTGAGATGGTGCCTGTAACCCCGAAACTCAGGAGGCTAGGACAGGACTACGATGGGATGTAAAGAGTAACTTTTATTACCCTGATTGAATTGTTATCTTAAAGGCCTACTGCCTCCATTGCTAACCTAGGCCAAGTCCTGGAAGCTCTATCCTTCATACAATCTAACCTAGGCCTAGAATGTTTTCAGCCTTTGAGACATACTGCTGAATAAGCTCAACCTTTTTAGTTCTTTCTGAGCTCTGGCTGGTTGGTTCAACTAGCTTATTCTGGCTCAAACTCCTCTCCTAGATGACTGATTCACTCTGGTACCTTTCACTCTCTTTCTCTTTCTTCTTCCTTCTCTCTCTCTCTGCCTCTGACTGAATTGCTCTGCTTAGACTCAAAGTAACTTGTATTTTTCCAGACAAGGTTTCTCTGTTGTATCCTGGCTGTTCTGATCTCTATTTGTAGACCAGGCTGGCTCTGGCTCCCTGAGTGCTGGCGTGTGCCACGACTCCCCGCTCCAGCAATCAGTTCTAATCTTTTGGCTCCTTCTCACTCTGTCTTCACCTCTTTTTAGCTTGATCTCTCTTCAACCTCTCTCTGTAAAACTCTCTGTAAAAACTGCCTCTGAATTCCACGATCTCAAGTCCACTTGCATTGCCTCTCAACTCTCAGTAGATCTGCCTAAACAGAACTGACTAGAATTCAGACATGTGCATGCCTCTGTCTCCTGAGTGCCGGAATTAAAGGTGTATACCACCACACCTCAACCTAACCTTTTTTTTTTAACCTGAAACTTGCTCAGGTTTAAACTTAGATGAGTTTAAAAACAGGGGCTTTAAAGTTGTCAGACTTCTGGTCAAATCTAACCCTACAGCCCTACCAGCTGTGACTTGACTTTGTTATGTCTCAGTTTACTAATCAATAGCAAGGCAGATACGCTGGGCATGGTGACGCACACCTGTGATCCCAGCACTCAGGGAGGCAGAGGCAGGTCTACAAAGCAAGTCCAGGACAGCCAAGGCTACACAGAGACTCCCTGTCTCCAAAAACAGCAAAACAAAAAGGCACAACCACCAATATTGACAAGGTGTGGACATTACCTGACCTGAGTGATTGAAAATGTGCTATCTGGGGCTGGAGAGATGGCTCAATTGTTAAGAGCACTCATGCTCTTCCAGAAGACCCAGGTTCAATTCCCAGCAACCACATGGTGGCTCACAACCATCTATACTGAAATCTGAGGCCCTCTTCTGGCATGCAGGTGTACATGCAGGTAAAGCACTCATAAATGTAAAAATAAATCTTTAAAAACAAGTACTTCTGGTATATAGTTGATACTCAGTAAATCAACACTAATGTGTTAAGCACTTGGTCAGTGTTAGTTCTGTGATTCAATATTGATTTTATTTGTACTTTTTTCTTAATATGTGTGTATAGATTATGTATATGTGTGTATATGTGTAAAATATATAACATATGTACATATTATATATATGTAATATATACACACTACACACAACACACACACACACACACATATATACATATATATATAAAAGAAAAAAGTCTCCCTGTGTAACCCTGACCTGGAGTTTACTTATAGACCAGGCTGGGCTCAACCTCTTAGATCTGCCTGCATCTGCCTCCCAGATGCTGGGATTAAAGGTATATGCCACTTTGACCAGCCATTTGTGATTTTTCTAATGACTGAATAAATTAATGTATACTTATACTATAATTTTGGCATCAAGATATGGCTATAAAGTAAATTTGTTTCAAAGAAATATGAACATTTTGCATAAAATTGAATATAGATCATAGTTTAGAAAGCATAAGGAATATGCCTAAGTTCATTCTTCCTGTTGCTAATTTAAAATGTGGAACCATTTTACCCATGAACTACAGCTTGCTTAGTGGTGCTATTGCTTATATGACTTCTGGTCTCTTTTACTTTTAGGCACTTTTTGCCATCTGTGGAAACTAACCTGTAATTTATTTTCCTTGCTGCAGTATTGAGAATTATACCAAGTAAGTGGAACACAGCCAAACCAACTAGTAAATTTTCTAATGGTTCATGGGAGTTTAGTTGTTTAGTGGTTGCCACACTTCTGTTCTCAGAATGTTGATTGTGACTCATAAAATTCTTCTTTCTTGAAAATTATTTATGTTCCAAGATTCTGTACAAGATATCCCCCCTCCCCCCCGGGAGTCATTATGTTAATATAGACTCACAACTATATCTTTAAAGAAATGCAGCTTCAAGACTTTAGCTTGAAGTCTGTAGAAATGTTGAACGTGCACAGGCATAATGGCTTGTTTGTGTGTGTTTGACGGGGTCTCACTTTGTAACCATGGCTGGCCTGGAACTCTTTATGTAGACCAGGCTGGCCTAGAACTCTGCCTTTCTCAGGCCCCTGAGTGTTGAGACTAAAAGTTTGTGTTGTGAGACAGGGTCTCGGAGTCTAGGCTTGTCTGGGAGGTGTAATGCTTTCGATAGAGGTGTGGTGCAGTGTTGTTCTGACATCTATTTTCACGTTCCACACAGACCCCTTTATAAAAGGTTTTCTGTGGATGGATGTCTTGTACCACAGCATACCTTGTGTCCTTGGAGGCCACAGAACGCAGTCAGATCCCCTTTGACTCAAATTACAGAGGGTAGTAGCTGCCATGTGGGTGCTGGGGGTTGAACCCAGGTGCTATGGAAGAGCAGTCAAGTCAGTCGTCTCAGAAACTGCTGAACCATTTCTCCAACACCCCTTCCCCCCAGATTTCTTATTGCCAATAAATTCTTTAGCTCAAAAGAATTTTTATACTATCAGTTATTGTACCATGTTTCTTAAATGCTTTTCATATTTTAGAGCGAAAAGATATGAATGAATATCCTAAAAAAAGAAAAAGGAAGACTTTACACCCTTCTCGTTATTCAGGTTAGTGTATAATTGAATTATTTTCGAAAGGGTAATGGATTAATTTTCATACAGCTGTTATTCCCATCTATGTCTGCATAAATGATAAGACAGAATATCTAGACCATTTTCTGTTGTGAGAACACAGATCCTCACAACATATACTCTGCATAAATCCTCTGCATATACATTGTCTGCTAGGTGGAGTGCTACAGGGATGCTTTACATTCTACTCTGCTCAACTCTATGGGCTAGAAATATTAAAACTAGATTTCCAAGCTTACTCCTCATATAGCTTAGTTGGACTTTGCCAGAGTCACAAGCTGTGCTTAAGTTGTAGCAATAACTTCAGCATAAGATATTTTGCATTGAGGGAGAAAAACTTTATCTTACACACTATTTTGGAACTGTGAACTTTATTTTATGTGTATGTTTATCTACATGTGTATATTCATGCCTAGTACCTAGGAAGGTCAGAAGTGGATGTTGGATTCCCTGGAACTATAGTAACATGTGGTTGTACAACAATCATTTGGTTTTACAAATGATAAAACTGAACCCTGGTCCTCTGCAAGAGTAACAAGTGCTTTTAGTCACTAAGCCATCTCTCTGTCTCAGTTTCCACTGTGATTGTGTAATTTGTGGTTGAGGTTGGCTCCTGTGTTAATTGAAGAAGAGGGCTGGTCTGGATGCAGCTCAGTGGACAGAGTGCTTGCCTAGCATGCATGAAGCACTGGGTTCACTGCTAAGCCATCACTTGAGAGGTGGAGGCAGGAAAGATCCAGACTGAGGCCAGTTTGGGCTACGTGAGACCCAATCTCATAAAAAAAATAAATAAAAATAAAAAATAAAAAAAAGAGTTCAAGGCGGTGGTGGTACATGTCTTTAGTCCCAGCTCTCTGGAGGCTAGCCTGGTCTACAGAGTGAGTTCCAGGATAGTGGGGATTACACAGACAAATGAGAGAGACAGACAGACAGACCGACTGACCAGTTCAGGGCTGGAGAGATAGCACTGTGGTTAAGGGTACTGACTGTTCTTTCAGAGGATCCTGGTTCAATTCCCAGCACCCACATGGCAGCTCCCAACTGTCTGTAACTCCAAGATCTGACACCCTCATGTTGATATACATGTAGGCAAATCAATGTAAATAAAATAAGAATTAAAAAAGAGACCATTTCATACATACCCATTAGCTTGCTTCTTTGAGGAGAGTGGGCCTGGTCTATTGCTTCTGCAGCATTTGGAATGGCTGCTGTTGAGAAGCCTCTCTGCTCAGGGCTATTTCTCCTGACGGATGTCTTGGCACTATGTGGCATGCCTTCTTAGTAGTTCATGGTAGTTGATTCACTATTTGAATTATTAGCATATCATTTAGTATATATGTATATTTTGTGAGATTCAAATTATAAGGAAAATGTTTCCTTGTGTGTTTTAAAAGAAAGGTATATTTTTTATGTGTAACAGACAGTTGTGAGTCACCATCTGTGTGTGCTGTGAACTGAACTCATCTCTCACTGTTTCTTTTCTCTTAGGGCCATGCTGTATGGCCCAGCCTGGCCTCGCTGCTGATCCACCTCAGCCTCTGCAGCATTGATACTCTAGGTATGCAGTCACCGCTGGGCTTTTACTACACTCTAGCCAGTGGCTCTTTCAAAGATGCCAAATGTCAGTGTTTGGTCGAAAGTGTACAACTGATGAACATGCTATCTATTCCCTATTGAAACTCATTAAAGTTATGAAAAGATGGGTTAGGAATATAGGTCAGTGTAAAGGGTTTGCCTGACGTGTGCAAGACACTGGATTCAATCTTCAACATTGGGAGGAAAAAGTAGACAAAAGATTTGAATGTCAGGCAGGCTTGTGCATCACTAGATATCTGTACATTGTGCTGAGAATTGTCTTCATTTTGTTTTACATTCAGATTCTTCTGGAATAAGCAGAATCGCAGATGGAGTCAGTGGGATCTTTTCTGATCATTGTTACAGTGTCTGCTCTATGAGACAGCCAGACTTAAAATATTTTGACAACAAAGGTATGCTCCTAATTTCCAGGATACTCTGTAATTTGCTTTTACAGGACCTACGGATGACTGTGTGGGTGTCTGCCTACCATGTGTAAGATCTGACTCCATTCTAGTACTACAAAAAGTCACAAAGAAACAAAGCTGCCTTGGTGTATTTTTTTCTTGGGAATTATCTGAAAAGGTAGTTTGTGTGTTTTTCGCTTTTCCAGACAGGGTTTCTCTGTGTAGCCCTGGCTGTCCTAGACTCACTTTGTAGACCAGGCTGGCCTCAAACTCATAGTGGTCTGCCTGCTTCTGCCTTCCTGAGTGCTGGGATTACAGGTATGTGCCACTGTGCCTGGCTGAGTTTGTTTTCTTAAATTAATAAGTAATTTTCATTTTTAAGCAAACTCCTTTTTAGTTGGCTAAGAATTGATGCAAAGCAGCGGTGATCTAGAGTTGGAGTGTTGGTAGTCAAGTGTTAGGAATCATTTTGCTCACTTCTCTAAGTCTGTAGTGCTGACAGAAGGGAAGGATGGAGAGTGGCTGTTTGGCGGATTTCGGTCTTGCATTTTGTTGCCCCCCTTTTCTTGAGGATTGGTAAATGGTATGAAGGTGCACTGATTCTTTACTTTCTTTGCACCTATTTTTGTTCCCTTCTCCCCTTCTGTGAGTCATCAGTCTGAGGCCTTGTCTGGTGCAGTACAGATTTGCAATGCTGACACACAGAAGTGCTCACAGACCTGCATCTATACCTGTGAGAGTTCACAGAACTGTTTTGCTCTTTTAGTTGAGAGTCCTAAAAGAAGCACCCTAGCAGTGAGCACATTTTGTGTCCAGAGCTTGGTTTATATAATACCAAGTAACCAAGGTCCCTATAGACATGGCCAGTTCTAGATCTGGGGAGGAAATAGACAACATGAGTTTAGAGCATCTTGTGGTGCTGGAAAACAGGGATGTATTATAAAACAAAACAACACACACAGTATGGATGGGCTAATGGAGCACAGGGGCTAACTGAAGGTACTCTCGAGAGCCTAGGTTAGAGGTCAGTTGCAAGAGTGCTTGACCACCACACACGAGGCCCTGCCTTCCACCTCATGATAGAGACAAAAGGAAGCTCGCAGTAGCCAGAGCTGGAGTAATTTGAGAAAATATGAATCTACACTGATATAAAGGATTTTGTGAATAATTAGGGGTAGAAAAGAAAAATTGCTACACAGAAGAATTTGCATTTATTTATATCAATATTCCTTTCTTAGGAAGATGGAAGCCAACTCTCCACTTCTTAGTTTTTTTCCCCTAAGTCTAAAACTTTTTTTTAAAAAACAAGGTCTTAAAAAAAACAAAACCAAAAAAAAAAAAAAAAAAAAAAAACCCGAAGTGTATTAAACACAGAGATGTTGCAGTCTGATTTTCCTTTTTGACCCTTATTTCAGTTTCCTATGCTAACTTGGAGGGAATGAGGCTGGACTAAAGGAATAAAGATTTCAATCTCAATATCTTAAAATTCCTTAGGAAGTTCAGAATGTATTCTAGTGTAAGTGGGCCATATAAACAAAGGCAGTGGATTATTCTCAATATTCTGGCATATTCTCAATATCTTTAGGAATCTATAATAGGTAATAATGTTCTTTCCTGACTAAATCTAAGTTATTTTTTATTGCTATTGAAAGTAGTATTTTATGATGTTTAATGCTTTGATATAATTTTTCTAAATTCTTCTTACAGATGATGATTCTGATCCTGAGACATCAAATGACTTGCCCAAATTTACAGATGGAACCAAGGCCAGAAACAGGAATCAGAACTACCTGGTTCCCAGCCCCGTTCTTAGGATTCTAGACCACACTGTCTTTTCCACAGGTTAGGGAAACTCACTAACTAATAGCATTTAGCATATTTCGTTCAGATCAGGTAAAAGCAGCACAAACTCTTAACTACTTTTCACATTTTTTTTTTTTTTTGGCTTTGAGACAGGGTTTCTCTGTGTAGCCTTGGCTGTCCTGGACTCACTTTATGGACCAGGCTGGCCTTGAACTCACAGAGATAATGCCTGCCTCTACCTCCCAGGTGCTGGGATTAAAGGCATACACACGATTGTTTCTAATGAGGTGCAGTGTTTCAAAACAGTTGTTTCTTTTTCTTTTCTTTCTTTTTTAAAGATTTACTTATTTTTTTTATACAGTATTTGCCTGCATGTATGCCTACACACCAGAAGAGGGCACCAGATCTTACTATAGATGGTTAATGAGCCACTATGTGGTTGCTAGAAATTGAACTCAGGACCTTTGCAAGAACAGCCATGTTCTTAACCTCTGAGCCATCTCTTTAGTTTGAGGACGGACTGTTTCTAAAAGAGCTTTATTAGTACCATATGACAGCAGTAGGATAGCTGTTTCTAAAGGAATGTATTAAGTACATTGCTATTACAATGGGATGGTTATTTCTAGTGGAACGTATTTAGTTCAGTACTACAACAGTGGGTTTCCTTTGTTTCAGAAAAGTCTGCTGACGTTGAAATCTGTGATGAAGAGTGTGACTCACCTGAGTCAGTACATCAGAATATTCAAGAGGAGAACCCTATAGAGGTTCATACCTCAGAAGACGTCCCAATTGCTGTAGAAGTCCATGCAATTTCTGAAGATTATGATATAGAGACAGAGAACAATTCCTCTGAGAGCCTCCAAGACCAGACTGATGAAGAACCACCAGCTAAACTCTGTAAAATACTTGACAAGAGCCAAGCTTTGAATGTGACTGCCCAACAGAAGTGGCCTTTATTGAGAGCCAACAGCAGTGGCCTCTACAAGTGTGAACTTTGTGAATTCAACAGTAAGTATTTTTCTGACCTAAAACAACATGTGATCCTGAAACACAAGCGCACTGACTCGAATGTATGTCGGGTGTGTAAGGAAAGTTTCTCCACCAATATGCTGCTTATTGAGCATGCCAAACTTCATGAAGAAGACCCCTACATCTGTAAGTACTGTGATTACAAGACAGTGATCTTTGAGAACCTCAGCCAGCACATTGCAGATACCCACTTCAGCGACCACCTTTACTGGTGTGAGCAGTGTGATGTGCAGTTCTCTTCAAGCAGTGAGCTCTACCTGCACTTCCAGGAGCACAGCCGTGATGAGCAGTACCTGTGCCAGTTCTGTGAGCATGAGACCGGTGACCCTGAGGACTTGCACAGCCATGTAGTCAATGAGCATGCTCGAAGACTGATAGAGCTCAGTGACAAGTGCAGCAGTGGTGGGCATGGGCAGTGCAGCCTTCTAAGCAAGATCACCTTTGACAAATGCAAAAACTTCTTCGTGTGTCAAGTATGCGGCTTTCGGAGCAGGCTTCACACAAATGTGAACAGACATGTTGCTATCGAGCATACCAAAATATTCCCTCATGTTTGTGATGACTGTGGGAAGGGCTTTTCTAGCATGTTGGAATATTGCAAGCATCTAAATTCACATTTATCTGAAGGGATTTATTTATGCCAGTATTGTGAATATTCAACAGGACAAATTGAAGATCTAAAAATTCATCTAGATTTCAAGCATTCAGCTGACTTGCCTCATAAATGTAGTGACTGCTTGATGAGGTTTGGGAACGAAAGGGAATTAATCAGTCACCTTCCAGTCCACGAGACTACCTGACTGTTAGCTTTACATAATGTTTATGTAAAAGAATAAATCCTTTTCTAATGTTAAAGTGGGTAAGCTCAAACACAACTTATATAATTTGCCTTTGACAAGTTTTCTGACTTAGTTTTTCTGACATTACTGTATTTTTGAGTATATAATTATACTTAATGGTGGTGTTTTCAATTGCATGACAGTCCGTAGTTGTCACTTTTGGTGAGTTTCTTGCCTGTGCTCCAACTTAATGAATGGAAACAAAGGTACTGAAGAAACTGACCACAGGAACTACTGTCTTTCTTTTAAACTCAAGAGACCCTTGTATGAAATAAAACTATTGCACTACCAGAAATAGGGCACAGGGTGCACTTGTGGGCCTGGTGGTGGTTTCAGGTTTTTATTGTATGTGGGGTTTTGCCTGTATGTAAGCACAACAGGTGTGTGCAGTGCGCAAAGGAGGCTGAAGGACAGGGCATTAGACCCCCTGGAACTGGGTTGGAACAAGGTTTCGCTCTGTAGCTCAGGCTGCTTTCAAACTACCGGCAGAGCCTAGCCCCTCAGGCTCTGAGACAGCAGGTGTAAAGCACCACTTAGTGGACTCTTTTTAAGCCTCTACTTGAGTTGAAGGATGAAATGGGGGAGGGCTGGGAAGGTATGAGACAGGAAAGATGCTTATACACCTTCATAACCAATTGGCATTTAGTCCTCATCTAAGTACCTGTTACCAGAGCTCCTGGTATTTCATCCTCAGTTATATAGCAAAGTCACTGCTCCCCCTCACACTTCTGACAACTTATCAGAGGACTGAGATGATCTATTAAAGTATTACCATAGAGTTGGGAATGTGGGATGAAGGGTTTCTGGTGTGGTAATTGGTAGTCTGCATCCCAGTGGCTGCTACAACAGCTACAAAACGGGTCTCTTAAATAGCAGAAATTTAACCAGTTCTGAAACCACTGGCAGAGGTTATTTCTTCTGAGGGCCATTAGGGAAGGATTCAACCCTAGCTTTTCAGCTTGTTCGAGGCAGTTATTCCACATGGTGATCTCCTGATTTGACTATCCCAATATTGAATCACCATATTATGGCCTCCTGCTATGCTCATTTTTAACTCACTAAAGACCTGGCACAGGGTGTGATGGTACCCACTTGGAATCTAAAGAGTGGAGATGTAAAATCTCTGGGGCTGGAGGGATGACACAGTGGTTAAGAGCACTTGTTGCTCTTCAAGAGGTCCCAAGTTTGGTTTCCAGCACCCACCATAGGTGGTTTACAACCACCTGAAATTTCAGCTCTAAGGTACCCTTTTTTCTTTTAAATATTCAAATACATCACATTCTGAGGTACTGGGAGTAAGGACTTAAGAATTTGAATTAGAGAGGATATAATACATAGCCTCTAAAATAACAGTATCTCGGGAACAGAATGTATATCATTGTCTTTTAGTAACAATATAATAGTATGGCTCAATAGTAATACAATCAAAAAGAACAATTTATGCTATTCCCCAAAACCAGGAACCATGGGAACCTTTGCCTGGTGGGTATGACGTACATTCCTGTAATCTTAGCAGGTGGGAGGTGGGAGGCAGGAAGTCAGCAGCTACATGGCTGAGTGCCAGGCAGGAAGTGGGAGAGACCACCTGAGATCCTGCCTCAAAACAAAATTGGACAGGGTAGCTGGGTATGGTAGTGATCACCTGGAACCTCTTCACTCAAGAGGCTAAGGTTGAACAGTTCAAGACCAGCCTCAGTTATAAAGTATAATCGTGTCTCAACCAAACCAGAACACTATTTGAGAATGAATAACTCAATACTCTCACAAATCAGCATCTACTTCTATTTTGTATAACTGCATTCCTAGAAACTCACTTCATGTGATTACAACATTCCTGGTAGGGCTTTCCAGTTAAGTATCTCCTAACTTAGCATCTTAGCAGTTTGAATTATTCCTAGTCAAACGACAGCAAGGCGCCAACAAGCAAAGGTCACATCGGCCAGGGGTAGAACCCAGGCTTGGACTACAGCCTGAAGGTCTATTACACCACTGTACACAGTGAACCTTTGTCTTGAGATGTTTTTCAGAGCTTCACTCCTTAGCTTCTTGGTAATTCTGTTTTATTTATGCTTGTTGGGAAACATCTCGTTCAAGGAATTTTGCTTTCAGGAAGCAAACTTGAATTTTTGTTTTGTTTTTTTTCTTTTGTTTTTCAAGACAAGTTTTCGCTGTATAGCCTTGGCTGTCCTGGAATTGCTTTGTACATTAGGCTGGCCTCTAACTTACAGAGATTTGCCTGTCTCTGCCTCCCAAGTGCTGAGATTTAAGGCGCCGCTGCCACCGCCTGGCTTTTTTTTTTTTTTTTAAAGTCTATATTTTAAGAAACTGATGCTCACACCTATAATCCCAGCACTCAGGCAAGCAGAGGCAGGCAGATCTTTGTGAGTTTGAGGCCAGCCTTGTCTACAAAGCAAATCCAAGACAGCCAAGGCTACACAGAAAATGTCCCAAAAAATTAAAAATAAAAATAAACCACCAAAAAAAACGAGATTCTGGTCAGTCTAGCATGAGACCAGATCCCACTGAGTTAATAGGTCTTAAATTGCTGCTGTAGTTGACCTGTATATTTAATGATTTTTGGAAAAGCAGACCAAGGTAAAGAGAAAAATTTCAGAACTGGCAAGATGGCAAAGGCATCTGCTAAGTCTGACGACTGAGTTTAATGCTCAGGAGCCACGTAGTAGAGGGAGGGGAACAGACTATCTTCTTTCTTCTATCTGACCTCTAAACTTTAAAAGCTTGCTCGCTTGGTGCATGTGCCACAACACAGCTTGTAAGTATTTATTCTGGATTCTAAACTGCAGGTATCATGGTACAGAACTTAATAAACATAACCTTTGTATGTGTGTATGTGTGAAGCAGTGAAATTTGAGGCTACTTACAGGAATATGAGTGAGGGTTTACAGAACAGAAATGACTCAGACAGTTGCATTACCAAGAGTCCATCCCAGCATGGGTAACAACTCATGAAACTTAAGAAACCTAGAGTTCTCAATGAAACAAATGTGACTGTCTCTTTCATTCAGCCCAGTTGGTCTGAGCATCTTTCAGGAAGCTTGGCTGCTCTGGGTGTCTCTCAGTAATCCTTACTGTTTATATACAGTTGCAAAGTGAGGGGCTTGGTGCATCTGGTCAGTTTCCAGGACTTCCTAAAGCTTTTGAGTTTTCTTCCTGAGTTTCTCTGTGCAGTCCTGGACTTGCTTTGTATACCAGGCTGGCCTTGAACTCACAGAGATCTGCCTGCCTCTGCCTCCTGTGCTGGAATTACAGGTGTGCCCCATCACACCAGACTCGGGATTAATCTTAAAGGAACCGGGGTTTATTTCAGAGTATGCATTTTTTTGTAACTCTGAAAAATCCTACCAATTGAAATTGAAGCTAAAAGTAAAAACTGATGAATTTACTAGGAGCAGTGACAGCTGGGAGCTGAGCTTTCCAACTGTCATGACTGATCAACTTTAAAAAAAACCTTTCTGAACAGTTGGCTTAGGGTTGTAACTAGGAAGGAAACTGGCAATCTAACCAATAACTTGGAAGTGAGTGATGTGGACTTTGTAATGGGAAGAGCACTATAACTCAATTTGCTCTTTCTGGATATTTCCCCCATTTAAAAAAATAAAATAAAACTTTTGTTACAAGATTATAATTAAACTCCTCTAGTGTTGGTCCAGTGCTGGTTAGTGAGAAACTAAAATTGCAAAATTAGTGGAACAAAGTCTGGAGGGACCTCAGACAGCTAACCCAGGCTCATAAGGGATACAACATATGGAAATAACTAATATAGTTTTTATCTTCATGATGATTAAAAACAATTTGTAAAATTTAGCAGGCTAAATTTTTGTCTTTTACCTTAAAAAAAAAACACTTGTGTTTTTTTTAAAAAAGGAAACACTTGTGTTTTCATTTCAGGGTTTCTCTGTATAGCTTTGGCTGTCCTGGACTCATGCAAGTGGAGTGTTCTCCTTTTTCTCATATGGGTTCCAGGGACTGAATTCAGATCATATAGGCATATAGGCAGCCTGCTTCTGGGTTGCCTAGCAACCTATGATGTCATCACTGTAAAGCAGCCAGATGTGTAGCAGTTGTTTTTCATCTGCACACCAGCTATAAAAGGACCAACCTGCCACACTCTTTTGCACTCCCACTGCTTTGGTTTCTCTCCTGTATCTGGGGCACAGCCTCCTTCTCCATCTCTGTCTCTCTGCCCTTACCGTAGCCCACTCAGGCCTTAACTCCCTTCCTCTTCCCTTCCCTCAAATAAATCTTTTCATATCCAGATTTGTTTAGTCCTATTGCCAAAGTCTCTCTCTGCCTTGGCAAGATTTCAGAATCCAGGGTAGAATCTGGGACAGGATGCAGAGTTCCTTGGTTTGCTTTGTCTCTTGGGTCACTGAGCTGATGGCTCAGGCAACCATCAGCAACCAATCTTGAAAGATGATTGAAAGAAAAAGGAGGGAGCCTAGGATTCCTTCTCTAGGTCTAGGGACTGACTACACTGCTACTAAGGAGGAAAACTTTAACTGGTCCCTTTTTATTTTTTGCTGAAGCCAGGACTGTAAAAAGCAGCTCCTAGCCAAAACTACAAGGAGTTGTAAAAAGGGGCTCTTTGATCCTTTAGCTCCTGTGCAGGGGCAGGCGACTGTGGAGGCCTCCAGAGGCTAAGGTAAACTTTTTTCCTGCTTATCCTAGGCTGACAGTTAGATCTTGAATCGCTGTTAACTTGTTTGTAAATTGCTAAGAAAAAGGAAAAAGGGGAGAAAGTAAGCAAAGACCATTTACACACACATACTCAAGAGATAAAGTGGATGAAATGAACATCATCATAACTAAGCTTGTGGGAATTAGTTTTTGGTTTTTTAAGATTTATTTATTTATTTATCTATCTATCTATTTATTTATTTATTTATTATGCAGTGTTTTCACTGCATGTACACCTGCCTGAAGAGGGCACCAGATTTCATTATAGATGGTTGTGAGCCACTTGCTGGGAATTGAACACAGGACCTTTAGAACAGCCAGTGCTCTTAAGCTCTGAGCCATCTCTCCAACCCTCTCTAGCAACTTTTAAAAACTTTTTTCTTTTAAGAAAGTGATCTGTAATCCCAGCAAGTAAAGTAGAGAGGCAGAGGCAGTCAGATCGGATCTCTGTGAGTTCAAGGTACAAAGAGTCCAAAACAGCCAAGGCTACATAGAGAAAGTGCTTTGAATACCCCCTCCCCAGT